AATGTTTCCGACGTATACATACAAAAACAGACACACATGTACACAAACACACATGTACACAAACACACACATAGAAAGACACACGGATAGTTGTAAACTCGTATATTAGTTCGAAGGAGGAAACGCAGATACATCTTATTACAAAGTTCTCGCGCTCGCCCATACCGTATCGAAACATTAGAGTTAGTTACGGTAAGATTTATCACGCATTCCGTGCATGCAGACCACTTCTAACATTCTGTTAGTTATCTCTGTTATGTATATATATATATATACACAAACACACACACACACACACACACACACACACACATACATATATATACATATATATCTAACTTTTATCGTATAAAATAATTTGTAGAAAAACAGAATACGTTTGATGATGATAATTAAATTAAATTGAATCTTAAGGGCAGTTTGAAAGAAACTGTAGTTAAGTTAAAAGGCAACTTTATATACTTGTCCCTTGTTTTGTGGTTGTTAAAATACGAAAGGAGAAATACGATCAACTTGGGATATAATCCCAGCTGGAGTGATAGAACATCGAACGACAAGGAAACGAACTCATGATTTAAACATAAGGTACGTTTAATATAAACGAAAGCATAAAGGGTGTACTCGCCAAGGGATAGATAGAAGGTGCTTAGGATCGTTGGGAAAGAAAGAGTCCCCTGGAATAAAAAGTACCGTGCTTTATAAAAGGGTGCAGAAGAGAATGCTGGCTGTTGACGAGCTAGCTTCTTGATTGGCTTTCCTCGCTGTCCACCGTAAAAAGAGAGTGAGAAAGAGAGAAAGAAAGAAAGAGAGAGAGAGAGAGAGAGAGAGAGAAAGAAAGAAAGGTGTTAAAAAAGAAAGAAAATTCCTGCAGGAATGAGCGATACAAAAGGCCAACCAGGTACCCCATATACAAAGCCCGAGCGATGAGTACAACAAAACGAACAAAACACACAATGGAAATTAGTTTAAGTCATTTGCACGATGGTATATTCGCAAGCTACGAATCGAATTCAACGGACGTGAATATATTCATTTTAAATTGAAAAGATCCTCACCTTTTATGTTTTCCTAGCGTTATTCCAAGTTATAATGGGAATCGTGTAGTCCGAGAATATGTTCGTATGACTTTTTATTTTTATTATCTAGATCTATTTTATTATTTCCTTCTTTATATACAGAGTCGTGATAAAGTGGTGAAGTTAATAATAAAGGATCGTCATTATATAATTCAGGATAATTTTCTAGTTCAAATGTGCAAATCAAAATTGGCTTTACCTTCTGTAATTATTTTAAGGTAAAAAATGTAAATTAGTAACTCTCGAAAACTGTATTACCATAGCATGGTAAGATAGTTACAATACGAATGTCGACTGTTGATAACATTTTTTTTTACGCTTAACCGAACATAATAGATACTAATTTATTTTCATATTACCGATAAACAATATTACAATATTCATGTTGGTTTTCGAATGACATTGTACAACTTATATATTACAAAGTGTATAACCAAAAAATTATAAAATACGAATACTTTGTTCTTTATAAACGTTTTTTTTTTGCAAATAACAAATTTAAACCAAGGACGGCCCTTATCAGAAACTAATGTTTCTAAACTATACAAACGTTAATGATTTCTTTTTTCTTTTTTTTTTTTTTTTTTTTTTTTTTTTTTTTTTTTTTTTTTTTTTTTTTTTTTTTATTTAAGTAGTTTGTTCCATGGAACACATTTTACACCGCTTACAACGCTGTATTAGTTCTAAACGTAACGCGATATCGACATAAATCTTTGAGACGAGATAATAAAAATGCACAAACGCAGAGAGGTGGAGGAATAGGCGCATAAAAACATCGATGTCTTTCCTCACAAGCGAAGCAACGCGATATGTCAGATGAACGTGGAAAGGCGACGCGAGCGTGACCGAGCATTTCGAGTGAGAATCGAATATTTGAGTGTGACAAGGAATAAAATATATTTGTGAGACTTTAATCGAAAATTTTCACTAATCGAGTGGTATAGAAGAATATTAAGAACAAGAAACGACGCGATAACAAACAAATATTTGCAGGAACTATAATAAATTCTTATAACGTGGAAAATATTAAAGTTCTCGAAGTTATTTTCTTCACTGCTAGGCCCATATCTATGCATGCATAGATTGAACGACAAAAATAACATTAATATTTTCGTTTCAATGCAAGTGCTTATCAGAATTATCTGCTAATTTAATATATCATTTATATATAATTATATTACATCAAAATCATCGAAGAATAAATTTTCTAGAAAGATAATTTCCCATGATACAAAGAAAAGACCTGATTAAAAATGCAACATATGCGTCAATATCGCAACTCATTGCTAGAAACTATGGCTACTGATAAGTTGATATGAATATCGAGAAGGAATTTTGCTAGGATGAAAAACTGAGAAAAAGAAGAAAAAGGAAAAGAAAAACAAATTTATATCTCGATTTGCAAAGAAAAAAAAAGAAAAAGAAAATTATTTACTATTAACGATATTCAACAAATGCAAACAAAGAAGAGGAAGTTTTCCCCAAGACGATACCGGAAACGCATGTCCATAGAAAGCAAACAGGCAAAACCAACGCATTTCCTTTTGTCCTTATTATTGTATACGAACGCAAGAAGTCTTGGAATTTCTCGATAAAAGAACCATTAAAAAAAAAGTGACAAAATCAACTGGTTAAAGAAAAATGAAAGACTATTCGAGATAGAAGGACATCATATCGATGAATCGGAAACGTAGTTGTTCGGGAGGAACTCGTTTAGCTTTTCACCGAAAAAGAAACGAGAAGGATGAAGAAGACGATGACGACGATGCGAACGATAAATACTAGCGTTCTTTTTCTATCAGGGTACGAGGATTACAGTAGTGAGATAAACGTTGATCCAGAAGAGATATTGCCCAAAAACATGAACGACATTTTAACGTCAATCAACTCTACGTGTCTCGGACATGCACCGAAATTGACCAAAATGATGTACCTCAAGGCCATTGTATTAGCTGTCATGTCGATCGTCAGTCTAATAGCCAATCTTGCTACGATATATTCAGTGACAAAAAATCGACGAAAACAGCAAAACTGGTCAGCCATTTATACTTTGATATTACATCTATCCGTGGCAGATCTTCTCGTAACGATATTTTGTATCGGTGGTGAAGCAGTCTGGAGTTATACCGTTCAATGGATTTGGGGTAATGTCGCTTGCAAACTCTTCAAGTTTCTCCAAGTGTTCAGTCTTTATCTCAGCACGTTTATCCTCGTGCTGATAGGTGTCGATCGTTTCGTTGCTGTTCGATATCCAATGAAGAGCTTGAGTACAACTCATCGATTTCTCAGATTCGTCGCGTTTGCCTGGGTACTTTCTATACTTTTGGCAACACCACAGGTAATATTAATTAAATGCTCCAATTAAAAATCGAATATCAATAGATTATCGTCCTTTGATATCTTGTTCATAGTTAAAGTACTTTACATGTTTCGATATTTAAAAGGAAGTAATATCTGTTTTTCTTTCTTCCGCAAGATCACTGAGGCATATCCATATCAACTTTCTGTTTGAAAATGTATCGTACTTTTACTATACGATTTTTTTATTTTTCGCATTTTTGAATTCTTTTTCTTAAATCGTGAAAGAAAAAGAGAGAGAGAGAGAGACAGAAACGAATTGTAGAAAATAGTCGAGGTTTCGTCGTAAAAATCGAAAGAGTTTAGTAACTTCTCACGAACTACTGCATCGATTTTTATCAGAGAAGGAGCGATGCATCTTCCACATTATTATCGTTTCTCGTTCCGTCTTCGTTATCACTTTTTCCCATTCTCTCTTCTCACGGCTACCGTTAAATTGTCTCTCGAAAACGCATCGATCACAGAACCCGATGACGATCTAAATAACGATGTGAAAGTTTCTCGTGAAATAAATTTCTTGTCGTGATGTTCGAGATATATAATACATACATACTTTATCCTATGGATTTTTTTTTCCGGACTTCGTTAAAATTTTATCTGATACTTTTAATTGGCTACGTATGAATGAAAATCTAAAATACATTATAACTATTTTCCTTATTATATTCATAACATATTCTAAACGTATATAAATATAAACAAAAAGTTATCGACCGTATTGTACTAGATGTTATACTATACACGATATAAATAATAAAATTTGTTTCTTAAAAATGTCCGTCATATTGGAGCAGCTTTTCAAATTATTTTGTTATTACATATAATTAATAGAAATTTACAAATTGTCAATTAATTAAGTATAATTAATTCCTTTAGAATCAGATTGTTAGCAAAATCATTAAGATAATCATCATCTTCGGTTGATTAAGATAAATCATACGAATTAACCGTACATGATCTCGTATCATTTTTCATTATAAAATGGAACAGATATCGCATTATATCTAGTCATTATGAGAAAAAAGAAAAGTATGTGGAGACAGACAGCTAAGATATGCCATACTAAAACAGATTGCAACAGCAATAACCAGTTCTCCCTTCTACTTTCTTCAATTATAAGTAATTATCTATTTGATATTTGATTTCTTACTACCTTCTTTTATCTACCTCTCTTTTTCTCTCTTTCTCTTTCTTTCTCTCTCTCTCTCCCCCCCTCTCCCTTTCTCTCTCTATCTCTATCTCTATCTCTCCGAGATTTAATATATATACAAAATTCATCATCTGTAATATCAGTCGTAATTAAATATCAGTAATAATTAAATAAAAAATTAATATTTTTAATAATAAATATGATTATTCTTTATAACAAAAGAAAAATTAGGAAACATAAGTACTCAGATTTATATGTGTATATATTATACAAATATTTATATATCACAAAGAAATATTTTATATAAAATAATAAATAAAAAAGTACGAATTCGAAAGATTTTATGAAATAAATTATCAAATATTCTTTGAGTCGACGTAATCTGATGAATGAAAATGTGATAGATATATTACTAAAAAAAAAAAAAAAAAATCAATTTAATTATATGTCCCTATTCACAGTGTTATTGTGTTAATATTATATTGATCGTGAGAATAATATTTAGTAGGATAATGAAATATCATGATCACGTCTTCCCACAGAGGGTATCGAAGAATGACTACTATTTTCACATTCATTGCAATCATTATTCTCGATCGTTGGTTTTAGAGAAAGATTCTCTATTTTCGATAAAGGACTTATCGATCTTCTTCTATGATAATTTCTACGTTTCTTACAAGAGCACTTCCTCCTCCTTGATCTTCTCGGCTTACAACGAGATCTCCTTCTCGAACTTCGACGTTTCTTCTTACATTTACACGACTTACGTTTAACTCGTCTTCTTGGTTTGCAACCACGTCTCTTTCTTCGTTGTCTCCGTCGACAATACCTATCTAAAAGACCTAACTCTTGTGTCGCGATTTCTTCGCATTCCGCTTGTGTATCAGTTGGTAAGCTATAATGTATGCCATTCTTTTTCAAAATTCCATAAGCAATACCACGTTTCAAAGCTACTTGCATCTATTTCATAAAAAGGAATACGATAAAATATAGAAAGTTAATAAATTATTTTGTTCCTCTATTAAAAGAATTCATGTAACATTCTCATGTCAATCGAATAATTTATAATTAACATTTAATAAGACGTTAATAGGATAATATAATAAAGGGTTAAAATAATATCACCCAACCTGACGGCGAGCTGTTTCTAATGGTATGCTGTAGGTAGACGTGATGTAATTTAAAATTTCTCGCGACGTCGAACCTTTCATCTCTCGCAACTCTTTGATAGCCGAGATCACTAGAGCCAAGGTCTTGGCCGTTAAAATCACCATGTTGAAAGGTCAAGACATTGAAGGACTATGTAAACTTTCGAGAATGTTACCCTGTATAGGAATTATTTTTATTGATAATCTTGCTTATTCCATGTATTTTAATATATGCTAAATATTTAAATTCTTATCTTATTTAAAAGAAAGTTTCAGAGACGTTCGGAATATTATGTATCGATAAGAAAGAGAAATAGTGTTTGTGTGTATGTGTATGAAAGAGCCGAGCAACTTTATCCATAAATGGATAATTGTGCAGACAAGAGGGCGCCAATTCTCAATGCCTACAGACAAACAGATCATTGATAAAGTCTCGAGGAATCAATCGCGGCGTCAGGTGCATAACGTATGAATGATCAAAATATCTCAAACAAGTCGGGATATCTTAAGAAGAAAATAAATTGTGTCTGAAGCTTGCAAAACTACAGAAAGAACGGGAGACAATGAAATGTGTATCAAAGGTAAAGATTACCTCGACAAGTAAAACGTCAGAGAACGTTTGGCAATTCTTTCGAACTCTTTTACTTCTTTGTAAGCTTCACTTCATGTTTTAACGATATCTCTCCGGATATTACGTGCTATACACGATGAATTTTAAATTTAGAGAATGAAACCAAAACATTACTTATTTTAGTAAGAGAGGAAAGACGAACGACGAGTCAGACGACTCGTTTGTTTATCTATGATCGTCCGATGTTTGTAACTAAGCAGAAAGAGAAAGAGAGGGAAAACGATCCTTATTCGATCAAAACTCACATCTATCTTCAAGGACGTGTTTATTTTAATATATATATATATTTTTTTTCTTTCTTTACGAATATATGTGTATATATACATATATAATTTTCAAACACTATGTCGACAGATAGTTATCTTTCACGTGGCACGCGGACCTTTTGTTGAGGAATTCATACAATGTGTGACGCATGGATTTTATACGGAACCATGGCAAGAACAGTTGTATGCTATATTAAGCATATTTTTCATGTTTCTTTTACCACTCGCCATTTTAATTACCACGTACGTTTCAACGGTAATTACGATATCAAGTAAGTAACGAATTTTAGTATAGATTTTTATACCAGCGTATAATTCATCTATTCGATCAATGATTAATTATTTCTTATCATTATCTTTTTAGGAAGTGAAAAAGCATTTAAGTCAGAATTAATCAACAATAATTTGCAACGTACGAATAGTGATATTAATAGAAGAAAATTATTACACCGTGCGAAAACGAAATCGTTGCGTATCAGTGTTGTCATAGTTGTTGCATTTGTCCTTTGGTGGACACCATATTACACGATGATGATAATATTTATGTTTCTTAATCCCGACGAACACGTAAGTGATAACGTATATTTCATTTGGAAAGATCATTTTATTGGCGGATTTGATGATCTATTTTTTATTTTTAGCTGAGCGAAAATCTTCAAAGTGGAATCTTTTTCTTTGGTATGAGCAACAGTTTGGTGAATCCATTGATATACGGTGCCTTTCATCTTTGGCCGCAACGGCAGAGAAAAAATTATTACCCCAGGTAACGTTCGTGATAATAAAAAAAAAAAAATCATTTATAACGCAAAGGAAAGAAATCTGTTTATATTTTCTTTATTTATAAGTCATCTCCATTAATATCTAGAGATTTTTTAACGTTTCAACGACGAAGCACTTATACGAGTAATAATCATTCTATGAAAGAACTCCAAGAAGCACGAGCATTATTTTTATCACGTGGAACACGAATACCGAGAACCACCCCCGATGAAGAAGAGGGCCACACAGGTCATGTATAGATCATATAGGTTAATGATAGGTCAATGTATGTGTGTGTGTCTATATATATATATATATTATATATATATATTATATTATATTATATATATTATATTATATATTATATATATTATATTATATATTATATATATTATATATTATATATATTATATATTATATATATTATATATTATATATATAGCATTTTCTACTTTCTGCAATTGCTTTGGAGTAATTTTTTTATTTTTTATAACATTTGTATTCTCTGTTGTTTGTGTTAGTCTTCTTAAGTCTTTGATATTATGACTTATGGCTTCCTTACTCTCTGATTCTTTCATATTATTATCTTCATTATCTGGAGAAACATCTATTTCAGAATCAGAATCGACATATAATTTATCGTTTTTAGTAATATTTATAAGATATTTCAAAATCATTTAATTGCTAATATATCATTATCTGTTACATTTGAATATTCATCGAAGTTCTCATGTAAATTTTGAACAGAAGCAATATCACGTTATTCTGCTTTTTCTTTTATATTATCATCTACGCTTATATTTTTATCATATGTTTTATTTGTCATTGTAAAGAATTTTGTTAAAATCTGTTTTATGAGACTCTTTCTTTTTCATTTTCGAAAATGTTTTAATTTGACATTATTATCTATAACTTTGTCATGCTGCATAAATTTCTCTTGAATCTCTTCTTCTTCATTCGATATTTCTATTAATTCCACATCAGTTTTACTGCTGCATGATGTGTTACTTTCATTAGGGATTATATTATCCACATCGGAATCTTCTAATGATTCTCCCTTAGTTGAAACTTTTACAATCTTGGGAATTTTACATTCCTCTGGAGATTCTAATTTTCTTTTTTTTGAAAAAACATTATTTGATACTGTTTTAGGAGATGACACTTCAAATGTTAAGCGTGCTGTAATAAATATAAATGAATATTCATTTGAATCATCATGTATTTCTAATAGAATAAAAAAAATATAGAATTTCATAAACAATAAAAGTGTTAAATAATTATATAATATTTATACCTTATTTATTTATATCAACTTTCTTTTTTTTGAAGAGATGACCTTTTCCATAATACAATTATCTTGCATATCCATTACTTAAACATTTCTTTATCTCTGAACAAACAGAAAAGTTAAAAATGAAATACATTTCTGTAATTTATTAAAACATCATACCAGTTAAATAATATTTAATATATTTTAATTTCTTACCTTCATTTCAATTGCGCAATAGTAATTTATTTATTAATACATAGTATGCTTGATAATATCAGTAAAACGAATTTACCAATGGAACGATATAACCTAATTAAAAACTTTAAATTGCATTGTTATGTATAAAATTAATATACTTGAATAGTAAGGCACTAATTAATGTATTTACATAATATTAAAAAAAGATATAAAATATACAAATTCGATTATCTATTATGAAGAAGAAGCAGACACAACAAACGTATATAGAATACCATTATTCTCCTTCCCAACAAAATCCTTTAGAAAATCACTATACAGAAAATCCGTTAGGAAATCACTATTTCTTCCATAGGGATTTGAAAAATTTCACTAAAATTAAATATCTAAATTCTTATATATCTAAATATCAATAGACCAATCATTAACTCCATGAGAGACATTCACCAATAGAAACTTGTCTGAAATATTGATAAGTGCTACTAACCTTATTTCTACAAGATTCTCATTGGAAGCGAAATATTTTCACTAAGTAAAGAATATTTTTCTATTGTATATAAAAGATAATGTTATTCTATGGTAACTATTTTTTTATTATTTTATATTTGAAAATAAATTAAATGTAAAACGTTAAAATAAAAAATTATATTACGTTACATATAAAAATAGGTTATACCATAAGTTAATTGTATCGTTTATTATTCTTATGCTCTTTCATGTTTTACAAATGTAAAATCCGTTTATGGATGGTTTTAGTAATAAATGTAATAATAATTAATTATATATATATATATATATCAATACATAAATATACTATATATATAAATATATATATATATATATATATATATATATATATATATATAATAATCTTTGACATTCAAAAGTTATTCTATCTAGAAATAATAGAGAATAGAGTGGAACAAATAAGTAATGTTTTTGCTAAAGTAAGTTTATCAAATATATCTATTGGATTTTTACAAAAACATAGGTCAAACTATACGACTTTTCAAATATTTACAGTTAAATATAGTTTATACGTATGTATTTTAATTATGAATATTCGTATGTACTTCGTATATAAAAAGCATCATTAGCATTTTCTTAAGTAACATGTAGTTATTTTATATGCTTTTTATGAATACTTAATGATAGAGATTTTGTTAAGTCACATAAGAAAAACTAATTATCTTGTATACGAAACATGATGTATGTCACTGTAATAACGATTTATAATAAAAACAAAAATTACTAATTATACCACTTTTAATTATGTTATGATTATATGATCGATTTACATACTTGTTATGAATATTTTTAAAATCGAAAATACGTATATGCTTGGTTTTTTGTAATCACTCTCTTAATAAAAAAATCATTGAAATACGACGTTTTTACTTAAAATAATATTTTGATAATAAATATAGGATAAGAAATTATTAAAAAAAACAAAAAAGAGAAAAGATATTTATGTTGTATTTATAAACTTAAAATATTTTCAAATAATTTCACACGTAAAATGATGTAATATATGACATATATTCCATCATTTATTTTATATGTATATACACGAACTCATATACATTTATATATATATATATATTTCTTAATTTTAACGTTTTATATTTAATTTATTTTCATATATAAAATAATAAAAAAATGGTATATTAGATATACTATATATAGAATAAAAGTATCTTTTATATACAATAAAAAAATATTCTTCATCTTAGTGAAAATATTTCGCTTCCAATGAGAATTTTGTAGAAATAATGTTGGTAGCACTTATCAACGTTCTAGACAAATTTCTATTGGTGAATGTCTCTCATGGAGTTAATGATTGGTCTATATTTAGATATATAAGAATCTAGATACTTAATTATAGTGATATTTTTCAAAACTCTATGGAGGAAATACGTATAGTGATTTTCCTTTTACATTTTCCCGCGGATTTTGTTGTGAAGGAAAGCAATGCGGTATTTGCACCTTCTTCATAATAGATAATTGAATTTGTATATTTTATGTCTCTTTTTAATATTACATAGATGTATTAATTAGTGCCTTATTATTCAAGTATAATAATTTTATGGTTTATAATAGTGCAATTACAAAATTTTTAATTAGGTTATACCGCTCCATTGGTAGATTCGTTTTGCTGATATTATCAAGCGTACTATGTATTAATAAACAAATTACTATTGCGCAATTGAAGTGAAGGTAAAAAATTAAGATATATTGAATATTATTTAACTGGTATAATGTTTTAATAAATTACAGAAATGTATTTCATTTTCAACTTTTTTGTTTGTTCAGAGATAAAGAAACGTTTAAGTAATGGATATGCAAGATGATTGTATTATCGAAAAGGTCACCCCTTCGAAAGTGAAAAAGTTGAAACAAGGTATAAATAATATATAGTTATTCAATATTTTTATTGTTTATGAAATTCTATATTTTTTTGCTCTATTAAAAATACATTATGATTCAAATGAATATTCATTTATGTTTATTACAGCCCGCTTAACATTTGAAGTGTCATCTCCTAAAACAGTATCAAATAATGTTTTTTCAAAAAAAAGAAAATTAGAATCTCCAGAGGAGTGTAAAATTCCCAAGATTGTAAAAGTTTCAACTAAGGGAGAATCATTAGAAGATTCCGATGTGGATAATATAATCCCTAATGAAAGTAACACATCATGCAGCAGTAAAACTGATGTGGAATTAATAGAAATATCGAATGAAGAAGAAGAGATTCAAGAGAAATTTGTACAGCATGACAAAGTTAAAAGTAAAAACATCTTAAAAACGCCAACAGAAACATCAAAAAGTACAGACGTTAAGAGAAATAAAAAAGTTACGCCAAAGCAATTGCGAGTAGATGAAGGTGCTAAAAAACGTAAAGAAAAGGAAAAGTTAAGAATGGTAATGTATAATCGTGATGATAATCCAATTATTTTTAGACCTTTATCGTTTCTATGACATTATGTATATTTTGTAGTATTTTTTATCTATATACATATATAATTGTTGTCATTCAGGAAAAAGAAAGAAGACGTGAGGAAGAACGGAAGAATAGACGAAAGGAAAAAGAAAAAAAGCAGAAAGAGAAAGAAGAAAAGGAAAAAGCAGAACGTGAACAGAAGAAAAAGGAAAGAGAACAAAAAGAACTTAAAAAACAAATGGAAATGGAGTACGTATCAAACTGCTTCATTTTGTAAAACGAAGTCACATACATATTTGTATATAGAATAATTACGAAAGGTATTTTTTTTTAGACAAAAACAGAAAGAAAAAGAAGCAAAAGAGCAAGAACGTCGTAAAAGGGAAGAAGCTAAAGAAGAAGAGAGGAAAAAAAAAGAAGAAGAGAAATTAGAATCCGAACGTAAAAAGCAAAAAGCAGCTTCAAATTTTGCTAGCTTTTTTGTTCCTAAAAAGCAGGAAATTAAAAATGCAGAGGAGGAGAGTAATACGAACGTACAAACTTTCATGCCTTTTGAGATTAAAGCAGATATGAGGATTGCACCAATTTCTAGAAGAAGATTAAAAAAAAATGAAATTTTATTGCTAGACGATAAGTTTAAAAGTGGAAGAGCAAAAAATAATGATTTGTATCTTGCAGAAATGAAAGCTAAAAAAATTATTACACATAAATCTGAAAGAACTTGGCCACTTGAAGCGAAGGATGATGATATAATCGTATTAGGTAAGAAAAAAAAAACTGATAATAATAATTCAATGTGGTAATTAATTTATGCAAAAAATATTTATTTATTTTTTAATGATTATGGCACAGATGAAGAAGAGAATGATAGTAAATCGAGTGTAGTCTTCCAGCCTGAGGTTGTCATGGATAAAAATCGGCCAAAATTATTACAATTTCATGAAAATCGTCGACCACCATATTGGGGAACTTGGAGAAAACAAAGCAATAATATAAATCCTCGTCGACCATTTTCAAAAGATGCGGTGAGTAAAGAATCTTCTTTAAATTTATTTTCTAATGCGAATTTTTTATGCTCTTACTTCATAAAAGATACGATGTAATAATCGGATGAGGCATTACTTATACTTTAAGATCTTCATTTCTTTAAGATTCTATTTCTTTTTACACTGATTCTATTTCTTTCTACACTTTAAGATTCTATTTCTTTTCGTGTCAAGTCAACTTCTAATGAAATTATCTTTGGATTGAGAATTCACTAAATCTCTGGTAGTACGTTCGTTTTTCCACTACGAAATCCACGTCCATTTTGAAACAATGGATAAGTATTTTTCCTATGCACCTTACGATGTTTTGCTAGGTGATCGCTACGTGCGAATCTTTTCGAACACATTTCGCAAGGATAGGGTTTCACTCCCGAATGTGATCGTCTATGCCTTGCCAATTCGTCTGATCTACTAAAACGCCATCCGCAACCTGACCATGTACAAGCGAATGGTTTTTCTCCTGTATGACGACGTAGATGAGCTTTTAAGTGAGACGCTTTAGCGTAGACCTATTAAAAAGAAAAAAAATCATGTTATCGAAATCAAACTATATTTTTCGCTTATCTTAAAGATCTTCTTAATTATATGTCTAATACCTTTAGACAGCCTTGATAAGTACATGGAAAACATCTATCCTCTGCTGCATTAGCCAAATTACGATTAGTGTAATCATGAGTGGCCAATGCGGCTGTAGCTGCTGATGAAATAAGTAGACTCTCTTCTAACTGATTATTATTATAATCTGTAACTAAAATCCAATAATTTTATATATATATATATATATGTATATACATATTCTTAAAGATTTCAAATTTAAGAGATTCTTTCAAATTATAATATTTCGTTACCTATTTCCTCCGGTCCTAATGTATTTTCTAATGTCCTTAAATCGATACCAAGTACAAGCAATGGTTCATCATTATTGAATATTTGTTGTGGATTTGGTAAAGGTAAATGTAAAAATCCTTCGCATCCTGCCGTACAAAGTGGTGTTCTTTCAGGAAGACCAGAGTTCCAAGTTCTGTCCAAGCACCATTCCAATTCAGAATCTAATTCGCTCAATTCGCTCAAACAACCTGTACGAATGTAATTCATAAGATTTTTGGTAGATTTGTCTTTTTTAATTACAGACGAAAAAAAAATTGCATTTATTTATGGTTTCACAGGAAATGTATAATCTCTCATTTCTAGATAAATTGATATGATTCAAAGATAATTGAAATGTTAAAAAAATTATTTATACTGATATACAATTATTTATTTAATTTTTTAAATATCGCGCCTGAAGACGATCACTTTATAATTCGTTGATGATAATAATGGCGAACGGCATCTAATAATAAAAAACTAGTTCAAGTTTTTAGCATTAAGTCACCGATGATGTACACTTTCCAATACAATTATTCACGAAGTATTGAGTGTTGCCTTTCTTCTAGGGGCTATATTCATATACATGAATAATTAGAAAAACGTATCGATGAATAAAAATAATTAATTAACAATAATTTTACCCGAGGAAGATGTAGATGTGTTTGTCATCCAATCGTTCCAGGAATCCTTCGGAGAACACGTTAATTCTGTATAACATTCAACGGGTGTCGTCAAAGATATTGCATGATTGTCTATATTTTCTGAATCATCGCTCAAAGGAGTCCTGCAAGAGGATTCATATTCGGAGGGTAGATTCGATACAGAGGGTGACGATAGCGGTCTATCGAAGTTTATATCCGTTGTTAATCCCAAAGCAGAAAATAATAGCTCATCTGCCATCTAAATGATTAAAAAAAAACATTAATTAGATCGAATAATAATAGATCGACGAGTCAAAGAACAAAGTTTAGATACATGAACGTGAAAATGTATGAATCAGCAAAATAAGCACTGACAATCGCGTACTGTATTACACGCATTACGATAAAAACATTAATTTATTCAATGAACCTTACGTATCGAATTAAAATTGAATTTTATCGCGAATTATCATAAGATAATAGAAAGCAAGAAAGTTAATATACGACGCCTCATTAAGATACACGCGTTAAAATGTTTCCAAAATCTCGTTTCGATACTTACGTCGAACATCAAAGTTTCCTCGATCATAACGATAGATCGATCCTCCACAAACTTTCAGAAGAAGAAAAAAAAAGAGAAGAGAAGAAGGAGGAGATCGTAAATTCTATCCTCGATCGAAAATAATTTATTATTTAGTATCAAGCTATACAATCTTTTTTGTCAACGACCAAGACCAACTAAACAATAATAGCCAGTGGTGATCGTACATTTCGTGATAATAGTTGAAATTCTTGAAAGACAAAGCAAGAAAATATTAACACAATCGAGAAAGTATGAAAGATAAAAAATTTAATAACGTAACGTGAGTAGTATCGACTGGTTATTATTACGACGAAGTTATTACTTCGTGATTCGCATTGACTACGATTTTCTTGATTAAGTTGTGTGCAAAATAGAAAAACCGGTATCTTTGGTATCCGATCCTCGGTCTCACACATATGTGAATGTTTATACACACATATACTAATCGAGGATAGACAAATGATCGATCTTGTTGGAGCTCGCACGTGTACCTTCGTCGTCGAGGATCGTTTTCAGACTGTCGATCGGCAGATCGAAGACGACGTGTAGTGCTTGCGTTGTCATCGCACACGACTCGAGAGATAATCGCCGCTGTGCCAGCCGGTGCCGTGTCACTGTCGTTTCTTCCCAAGGGATCGAGAAAGCACACCGATCTCCAGAACCGTACCGGTCCAGATACAGCTCTCGTTCCTCGCTATTTTATTCCGTCATCGTTCGTTTATTTACGAGTATCATTTATCCTTCCCTTGCTTGCTAATCGTCCTCTCGCGACCATCAACTTTTGCGACACGCAAAAGTCATAATATTTCCCTTTTTTTTCTTTTCTTTTTTCTTTCTTTTTTTTTTTTTTTTTTTTTTTTTTTTGTTAGAAAAACAACTTACATATGTGGCAACTCATCTCGTCGTATCTTTTATAAATAGTTTCACTTGTTTGTTTTTATTCCTTGCCATACCTGATCGTACACAAACTAAATAATTCGATTTTATCGTCAAATTTAACATACTAGTATAAACGAAGATACAGTAATCATTAGCTTTCTTGATCGCATAACAACTTTCATTGTCAAGGATACTGTCACGAGTTTTACTAAGATTTTCCAAGGAGCTCACACTCTCTATATATTGTATCTTCATCGACGATTGTTCGTCTCGAAATGGCAATGGCTTTGACCTAGAGCGACTTCGAGGGGCTTGAGTCATGATAAAGTGTCAGCGAAGTCAGTGGCCACCAGGAATTTGCTTCCATGTACTATATATGTTTATCGGTTTGAAGGAGGCTGACCTTAGATATAACGTATATATTTATATTATTTGCTCGCACTTTCGTATAAAGAAGAAGAAAAAGAATGAGAGTAGTAGAGGATCGATTGATTTTTTTTTTTTCTTCTCGTTTTATAGGAAGACAGAAAAGAATCAGTTTTCGTTATTTTCGAGAGGATACTCGATTCTCTGCTAGGATAAAATAAACTTCTCCTATGGTTTTTTTCCTTATTTCTTTCTTTTTCCTTTTTTTGTTTTCCATTTCTTTCTTATTCATCATTTTATGATTTATACGCGTGCATTGCTCGATAGTTATCGCGGTCTCTTACCACGTTATGAAAAACAGACCACAGCACGGCGGTCTATCACCGTCGTTTATCTGCGAGATTGACCGCGTCCGCGGTATGTCTTTACTGGATTGCTCTGATCTATTGCATTTAGGCGCCTTTTCGATTCTCTATCGAACGATACCAAGCAACGATACGAAGAGAGAAAGGGAGGTGGGAGAGAGGGGGGGGGAACTAATAACGTCAAGCAATTCATTGGCACGCGTTAACATTGTCGTCAGAAAATACACTCATGGATCAGAGAACACCGAAATCGTTTGAAAATGATTATTTACGTGGATCGTTTCGTCATCGTTGATTGCGATATTGGTTATAAATATTTTTTTTCAATTTGATTGAATGACTTGTTCATTTCATTTTTCTGTTTCGTTCGTTTGGATGGATTAATTTTTTTTTTTTTTTTTTTTTTTTTTTTTTTAAGCGAGCATTATTAATTATTCCCTATTTCGCGGTGCGACTGGAAATTCTAGAAGTTATTCGTAGAAACTCTCGAGATAATTTTCGCTCTCAAAATTTTTCCATCCCCCTATGGACCGCCCTTGCTTCGTGAATTTCTATTGACCAGATACGATTAAAATGTTCGTTTTCGATTTTCTTTTCTCCCTCCCTCCCTCCCTCCCTCCCTCTCTCTCTTCTTTTCCTTTTTATTTCCTATACATAATATCTGAAATATCTGATTTAATCGAATTCGCCGGAACCTTATAGACAACCGTCGCAACTTTTTGATAAGCAGACATTCTGCGAAATTTATGCTCGTATAGATAATATTAATTTATCTAATGACGCATTTTATAGAGAGAAAGAACGCGTCCTCATCGCGCATTACAGAGGATCACGTTGAAAGAATATAATATATCGAGAATGATAGAGAAGGAAACAGAGAACGAAGATATCGAAGGATTGATTTACAATCGACCGCTTTTTTTCTTTTTTTTTTCTTTTTTTTTCTTTCTTTTTCTTTTTTATTATTTTTTCATTTGTTGTAAATGTTCAATTGTTAGACGCGATTTATTAACGATATCTAAAAATAAACCCAAATAAGTAATTTATTCTTATCGTTTCTATTGAAAGAAATTTTCTAATATCGCTTTATATGATCTTGCATAATAATACGTAATAGTTTTTTCTTTATGGTTCTTTCTTTCTTTCTTTTTTTTTTTTTTTTTTTTTTTTGTCAAAACTCCATGATTAGAAAAATCGGAAAATTTTCAAAAGAGACCCGCCACGATGACGGATCGAATGCAAGTCAGCATGAACTTTATTAGCTTCGTAACACGTAATAAAGTTCAGGAAGGACTTGGGTATATTTGGAAATAAATCAGTTACGATTGTAGAAAGAGAAAGAGAGAGAGGGAGAGAGAGAAAGAGAGAAAGAAAGAGAAAGAGAGGAAGAGAGAGTTAATCGCCGGTGTGTGCGCGCGAAGAGAAGCAACGACCATAATCTTAATGGGGCATATAACAGCCATTACAGATGGCCCGCTGGGTGACAACACGCTGTAAATAACGAGGCTCGCTCCTCCGGCAGGCACAGTCGAAACGTTTACGCGTTACTTCGATAAGTGCATTTTCTTCTCTCTTTCTCTCTCTCTCTCTTTTTTTTTTCCTTTTACGATTAGTCCCACTCCGAAAGACTGGGCCCCCGTATTCGATATTACGTATCTATATATATGTATATATGTGCGTGCGTTAGCGTCTGTTTTGGATTTTTCACGGCATGTTCTGCCGATCTGGCCAGAGGCGTCAAGTTCACGAAAAAGGCACGAAGATCTCTTCTTTCTTTTTACACTTTTTCCTATTTTTTTTATTTGTTTTTTCTTTTTTCAAGATAATTAATCATAGTTACAAGTTTCGTTCGACGTTTTAAAAATTGCACCATATTAGATCACGGTAAATATATTAAATAACAAGATATCTTGTAAAGAGTGTAGAAAGAGAGGAGAGAAAAAAAATAATTTTTTGTCATTTATTCGTACTATATTAATGAAAGAATATATTGAAAAATATATAAGTCAAGAAAAATATAATAAGAAAAATATATAAGTCAAGATAAATAAGAAAAAATTCGGAGTCCTTATAATTAATTTCAATCAATTCTTGGTGTCAATTCGTACTACATGTCATTGTATCTTCATGGACGAATTAATTCATGTTTAGTAATCGAAATACGCATAGATAACGATACAAATAACATGAAATACATGATTTCTTTTTGCAATTTTTCGTATCGTTATATGTGTATTTGTAAGGTATCTGTAATCGGACGTACGTAGTAAGTAGTAAATAAAATTTTAAAGATCTATTGATTTTCATCGTGAAATCGAATTTTTCTGTTTACTTTTATAATTTTCTTTCTTTTTTTTTTTTTCTTTTTTTCTTCAATTTTACGAAAAAGTCCATTTGAGTCGAGAAAGATGCGCCGTTGTATTATCGCATTGCGTATGAATAGTTATCGTATCCGGAACTAACGAACATGAGCGATCTACGATATTTGCCCACACGTCGAGCATCAGCGACGTGATGGCGCGCGACTATTCCTGTCTACGTGATAATAAATACTCTTTTATGTATATGATGGACCGGTTACCTCGTATCGCTGCCGAAAGCTGCTACAGTGCCTCTTTTTCTTTCACTTATAATTTCTTCGTTTCCGTCTTCGTTTTTCTGCCGTCTTCCTGTCGAAAGTACACTTTTCGAAATGCCCGCTTCTTTTCTTTCTTCCTAACCGGCGACGAATAATATCAACGAGCCGGTAGATTACGTTCCTCTCCAACAATAAATTAATGTCTCGAGAAGGTCTTGTAATTGATGCTCGCGTAGGGATGAAATCGACGTTGATTTATCGGACAAAGGTTCCCTTGCCGCGGTTGTAAAGAGAGAGAGAGAGAGAGAGAGAAAGAGAGAGAGAGAGCCGAGAATTTATTGACTTTTAGGCGAAGGAACGTTTCTCGCCAACGATCTCGATATATTCGACTCTTATTGTTTCTTATTAATCGAATCGATTCCTCCGTTCGACGTTTTCTATTCTCGTGTAGAACAAGTTCAAAATAGCTACGTTCTAAGCTACCAAGTTACTTTAAGAATAAGAGAATTGCAATGATAATGATGATGATGTTGATGTTGATGTTGATGTTGATGTTGATAATAGTAATAATAATAAAGAAGATTGTTCAAATCACTTTTCGTTTTCACCAATCGCGAAGATTTCAAGTTCGATCATCCGAGAGATATTAAACCGAAAATATTCACAACGTCTTTACATTTTGACAGACTTGATTGTTCGCGGCGTGCTCTTCTGTTGTCTGTAAAGAAGAGAAAACGAAAGCGTAGTGAACAACACGTGCCAACTGTAATTGGTCGCTTGAAGACTTGATATCGGTCGTCAAGGAAGTCGCTTTTGATACGAACGTCCTGCTTATTCATTGTATATAGACTATAATAATGGTGGGATTCCTCAATCATGTATGAAAATAAGTTAGCTAAATATGGGAATACACTTTATATATATATGATATATATATATATATATTATATACATATTATATATATATACATATATATACACGAAAAAAAATGTCATTAGAGTTGACTTTTAAATGTATATCTAATCAAGTGATTTCGATATCGACTATTTGTAGAAATGGTTCGATTACGAGGTCGATTCCGATGAGGAATGGGAGGAAGAAGAGCCTGGAGAATCTCTACATGGTTCGGAAGATGAGAAAGATGAGGAAAATCCGGATGACAATGAGTATGATGTTGACAATGAGTTCATGGTACCACACGGGTAAGTCATTTGAAAAAGAAAAAAAAGAAAAAAAAAATTCGTCGATCTTATTAGGAGCAAGTGACAATGAACGAGCTCGTAAATTATTCTCTTCTATGCATCCCTGCCATTCACGATACGGTATCATATTCTTTCATAATTACGTGTGTCTCTTTCAGATATTTGTCCGACGAGGAAGCCCGACCTGATGAGGAGGAAGACGAAAGTATGGTAAGTTTTTAAACATTTTACTTAACATGATTACCTATCTATTTTCAGAATGATTATTTATCTATTCTGAACGAATATCTCCTGTACTCATAAAATATATCTTTCAGACACCGGAAACTCAGAAGTTCAAGTTGAAATTGTTGGGTGAACAATTCGAGGCCGAAAGAAGCGCGAAAATGTCCAAATTGAAACCGAAAATAATTGGTTGCGTTTGGCTTGGTCCAGATAATATTTATCCTGAAAATAGTGAGTAGAAATTGATCTTTTATTGCGTGAAATATTTACATAGGAATTATGAAAATTTGTTTTTTTATTTTTTTATTTAAAAAAAAATTTTTTTTTATTTCTTTTTTATTTTTTTATTTTATTAGCTCCTAAGAGAATCGTAGAGTTTTTGACAGCACGACAAGCTTGGGTATCGCAAATACCTGTCGTACTTCCGTCCACTATGAGAGAGAATACAGACACCAATAGCGGTACACCATTGAAAATCCAAACCACAGGAAATACAAGGAAAACGAAAGTACCGGCAGAAGCGTTGGCCGACTTGATTCGTTTAATTCATGGAAATATCCATGGGAAAAAGTTCCTAGTAAAAGAGTTCCTCACTTTTTGGAACAAGAAAAATGTAAGTAAAGACAATCAGATCTCGAAAGCTAGCTTAGGGAAAAAAATCGGTGAAATAGGAAGGTGGATGTCCTGTCCTGAAGAAGGGCAGATGCATTTGAAGGCATGTTGGTACGTTTCTGAGGATATTAGAAAGAAATATTTGGATGTTGATGAAAAATTAACCCTACCGAATCGTTGGACATATAATTTAACACCTAAACGTAGAAGTGAGATTTCGGATAGCAATGATAAGCTAGAGAAACAGGAAAAAGATAATGAGAAAAATAAGAAAAAGGTACCGCTTATAACTCAATTTACAAAGAAAATTACTCAGGAGGAAATGAAACGTCAACTTTCAGCCGAACCAAAACAAATTATAAAACCTACACCAATATTGCAAAGACCACCGAAACGAGCGGTTTTAATTTCTATCCCTAAGAATGAAAAAAAGGAGATATCCCTGGTAAATATTAAAGAATCTGAAAGTAAGAAATCGGATGATAGTAAAAAGAAATGATAAAATATGTATATAAACCACCGGGTGAGCTATTGCTACGTATATGCATACATGTGCACAAAAATGTATTAGGTCAAGTATATATACATTGTAAAAAAAAAAAAAAAGAGAGAAGATCGTCATGTAATATAGTAGACTGAAGATGCAATTTTTTTTTTTACTAATTCATAGTGATACCGTTCAAAAGTTCATATTTCATAGAGACATTTGCGTTATCCATTATATATATATATACGAATTATCTATTAATATCACGATTTTATCTATCGTTAACATATAATATCTACTTTTTTAATAAATGTCTATGATCGCGTTTGCAAAAACTAAATTCGTATTTAGATTGGTGTTTCTATCTATGAGAGACTATCATTGATATATAAGAGATTATATTTTTCGATACAAATATATTTATTCGATAGAAATCTTTTTCAAACGGTAAAAATTTTATTGTGTAAAACGGTAAAAATTTTGTGATATCTTATTATCGACTTGAAAATAATTATGATGTCAATAAAGAAAGAAACATTAAAGAAAGATTACTATTTTGTCATGTTAGTACATGTTCCAATAATGATATTTTACTCTCATATATCTTAAGTACATTATTAACTTAAAAATAATAATAATAATAATAATATAATAATAATAGTTACGGTTTATTAAATTTTTATAATCCGATCACATGCGGAATACTTACCATATTTGGTAGTCGTACATTCCTTTAGTTTCTATATGCATATACATATTTGTTTCCTCGTTAATTTCAATTAATATGTTCGATCATTAATATCGAAACGTCGTTTAAAAAGTGATCAACCGATACTGGAAAATTCATATGAGCCGTATTTTAATAAGGACATTGTAAACTTAATAAAGTTTATTTTAATTTTGTATTAACGATGTCGATTTTACTTCCAAACTTTTCTCCGTTTCTCTTCTGGATGAGAGTGCGTTACGATTATTAATTTGCATTGGATAGTTGCAATTGTTGCGGTTATAAATACATATGAAATACTTACACGTGGAAAAAGATACTTTCACGCGCGCGATATCGAATTTTCTAGTAATAAAATGATAAAATTGTATATCTCTCTCGGCATGGTACCAGTATAGGTATCTCGTTTCACGAACGTTTAAATACCATCGAATGTGCTGTAGCAAAACTCATAAAAAAATATCAAACACGCGCGAGCAATTTGAAGAGTAACTCGCAATTCTGTGATATCGAAAATTTTGTGGGAGAAAAAGAGAGAGAGGGAGAAAGAGAAAAGTGAAGAATGATCCAAAGGTAAGTTTTACATTCGGCAGTTTGGATTTGTGGTTGTAGGGTTTACCGATCCGTAGCATATGGTAGGAATGAACGAAAGGGCGACCCTCGAGATCGTGGTAATTATTGAATCACGCTTGAGATCCGACGAAATGTGTAGAGAACCATGATAACTCTCCTCTTTTTTATTTCTTTTTAATTCTTTTTCTTTTTTCAAGTACTACGACAAGAGAGCCACTCGATTTTTTTTTCTTCCTTTCCTCTATTCCTCTTTCTCGCTGTTAAACATACTTCGTGTGAGTTGAAAAGTTTTTATTCCCGAAAATTTTCGATCAAATTAAATCAGCTTTACGTAGATACTCACGTGTATTTTAATTTAATTATACACTTTTCGTAGAGCTCTTCATTAAATATTATATGTAAAATATATATATATATATATTTTATATATATATATATATATATATAATATATATATATATATATATATATATATATATATATATATGCTACATTAACGTTACTTTAATTATCTACCAAACAAATTTATGAATAATTGAATAAAAATTTTTTAAAAGTGTTATATCGACGTCGGAGCCAAAACATCAATCAGGAAAAATCAACGACAGTGTCTTCTTCGCGATCTATCGATTCATTCGGATTTCAACGAAGTCTCGCGGTTTCGTTCGCGTATCCAATTTTCTATGGCCGTAAGTTATCGAAGCCTCTCTCGAGAATACGCATCGCGGATTCGGAAGAAAGGCGGTGATCGCGTTTTTTATTCTTTTTTCCTCTCTCTCTCTCTCTCTCTCTCTCTCTCTCTCTCTCTCTCTCTTCATTTCTCTACCTCTTCTTCTCCACTCATTTCGGTATGCGATCGCGATCGTGAGAGAAAAAGAGAGAGAGAAAGGGGGTGGACCAAGAGAACGCGTGGCAAGACGAGGAAAGGGAAAGAGAAAAGAGAACAAGCAAAAGGAAAGAGCGAAAGAGAAAGAGAAGTGGAGTAGAGTATAAGGTGTATGCCTAGAAGGTATAGAGAGAAAATGGTAGCCAATGGCGTTGGCTCTGCGTTGTTGCTACAGTATTGAACGTCTCCTACGTGGGGTCCAGATATCTCTCTCTCTTTCTCTCTCTTTCTCTTTCTCCTTCTCTTTCTCTTTCTCTTTCTCACTCGCTAGCTCTCCTTTTTCACCCCTCTCTCGCCCTCTCGAGAGAACCGTCCTTTCCTCCTGGTCGTCCTCGTCCTCCACCTCTTTCCCTCTCTCAATATCTTTCTCTCTCACTCTCACTCTCTCTCTCTCTCTCTCTCTCTCTTTCTCTTTCTCTGGTCCTCTCCTCGAGCTTCTCCTCTTTCCCTACCTCTCGTGACCCGACGATGTCCTCCCTCCACCATCGTCGTAGGGTGGAGACCCTCCCTGGTCCACCCGCCCTCTTCACCTCCTTTTCCACCACCTCCACCTCCTCCTCTTCCTCCTGCCGGTACTGCTCCTTCAGCTCTCTCTTCCTCCTCTCTCATGAGCTTATAGGGTGGAGGTGGGAGGCAGGCCGTCGGTAACCTCTCTCCATCAGAGACGATCCGTGAGTTTGCTGCCGAGATCCAGAGTGGTGTGAGGTGGCCGCCTCTATCCTCTCATTAATATCCAGAGACACGACCTTAGGAGGTCCGTGCAGTCGCTCCGTACAACTCGCTTCGCGCTCTATAGGTTGCACGTTCGCCGTTCTGATCGACGGAAACTTCGACTTATGCGATACGGTAGCCGAAGATTCAACGACGCCGATCGTAGAAAATTATGACCGATCGAATCGATCTCCGTGTCGAATGATGAATTATTATCAATATGAATAATGTTAGATAATAATGAACAATAGTTGTACTATTTATTGTCGACAGTACTGACTAAATTGAATAACATCAATAATGATATATGTAATTAATATTAAATAGGATAAATATAATAAATTAATAGTATAACGATACATCAGTTAATTACGTTCAGACTAATAATATCAGATATGGACATAATTAATATTAAACATCTAATCTCATTAAAAAAAAAAAAAGAAAGAAAAAAAAAAAACAAGTACGAATTAATCGTTTCTTATCATGACCTATTATAGCACTTGTAATAAATGTACGGATACAAACAGTAAGATCGTATATTTATTAAAAAGAAAGATCACCAATACTTTCGTGTCTTTTCCTACTCGATTCGTGCTTAATTTCGTGGTAGAAACGAAACAACCGCCTTTGGAAGGTCGTACGTCGTACATTCAGGGAGGGCTGAAAAATGGTGGAGGATCGAAAGATCGAGAGGGCCACGAAGGAAGATACTTAATTGAATACTCGAGCCACGATCGATGCACGATGTCAGAAGGCAATGGCACAGTACGATCGTTCCGCTGCCGATCGCCGCATTACGAAGCTTTTACCGTCGATTATTACGCTGTGAGTTCGAAATCCACACTGCCTGTCCCTTCTTCGCTCTTCGTCTCTCTCTTCCACCCTTTTGCTTTCGATAAATATATACCTGTGTTTTCTCCCTATCTCGTACAAAAGCGCACGAAAGGTGGACACGAACTTTGTGCTCGGCCGTTTCTCATCGAAGAAAATGGAGATCAATATCGTTGCTGTCGCTTTAATGATCTTTATCGCAACGGCTGATCGATCTAAAAATAATTGAACGTTTCATAAGTAGAAAGTAATAATTTTAAAATAATCTATCCTCATAATATCAGACCAGTATAACGCGCTTATATATTTAGATAGATATGATAAAAACTTATGCAACGTCTTAATAAAGTTATTCATTCCGTGAGTAATAAAATATTCATTAAATTCACCTGTTAATTTATATACCAATATCTTATCGAACATTTAATTTTTAGATCAGACAATACGTGTTATGAAGCGTTGATAAATCTTTTTCATTGGTGACGATCTGTCTTATCGAGAAATATTATTATAGTTAGAATGATTTCGAGATATTAGATGATAGGACTCTTCGGAAGGATACCTCGTTTTCTTCTCCCTCTCTTTAGGTCGTGAGGGAAAAAAGCGATTTTTTCTTTGAAATAAAATGGAAAAGGAGAGAGAGGTCCGTGAAGTCTCCGCGCGGTCTGCAGCTGCTGGATCTTATGCTAATCCCACCCCCGCAGGCTACCCCCGGCAAGCACATCGCATGAAAAAGTTGCTCGTTACACGCTCGCTCATAAATCTCTTTCCTAAGCTTAATCTGTTCGCTGGCGCGCTTCTGTTCTCACCGCGGAAAACTCTAGAAGGGGCGGCAGGTGTGCTCTCTCTCTCTCTCTCTCTCTCTCTCTCTCTCTCTCTCTCTCTCTCTTTCTCTCACTCCCTCTCTTCTCTCGTCCCACGGATTTTTATAATTTTTTATCCTTTGGCAAAATTTAAATCCTCCCTACTTCTTTGACGTAACGTCTAAACGGCTTCTTCAGCATCATCCTCGGTCACGAAAATACGTAGGTAATAGCATCGTAATTCGATCACTATTTTTTTATTACTTATATCAACCAATTTTTCTTTTATAATTTTATAATTTTCCCTCAATATTTTTGGCAATTGTCTTAAGTAAATTGTCAGATATTTCTGAAAGAATTATTTTTTACTAAGAAATTTTCTAAAATATGTCAAATTCATTAGACAATTTTTTATAAATTTATATAAATGATTTCTAAAAAAGAAAAAGAAAATGAAAAAATTTCGTTTAAAGTAAATATTACTTAAACGTTCAATATATTTTCAAAACTGATCGAACCGAGCAGAACTCGTCGGATCCTCTCGTTCATGCCAGTCACAATTCGCGATTACCGTTTGTTCGCGAA